GGCTGTTTCTCCTATCTTTGCTGCCTTTCTCATAAATATATATATATTTATACATATATACACATATATATATTTATGAGAAATATACATATATATATATTTGACCAATGTGTGTTTAATCTACATAAACTGAATACTTAATAAATGTTGAAGTAATTTTGCAGATTGCATAGAGCTGTAAATTCTATGAGGATTGGGAATATATTTTATTCATCTTTGAATTCTCTCAGTACCTGGCATGGGGACTTGCACATAGTAGACCATTAATAATCTTTTTTGAATAAATGAATTAATTTGCTTTGTTTCATATACATTTCATTTCTAGAACAATAACTGAAGACTGGCTGGAAATATAAGGAAAATGAACCATAATTGGAGAATATAATAAAGCCTGTCACTCACATCTGAGACACCTATTATAAATGCTTCTGATGCCTCATTAAAGACATTCTATTGTTTTCAGAATGCATTTTTTCCATAGTAAATAATCACCTCTTGCTATAATTTAAACATTGACACTATCAAAATGATCAGTTCCAAAACACAGATCTGATTCTGTCATTTCGCTGCTTAAAAACCTGCAACACCCCCAACCCCCCACCACCAGTCTATACAACAGAGTCCAAATTCCTAACTATGGCATGGAAGGTTCTATATGATTTGTCCTCAGTTCATTTCTTCCCAGCCAATGTAGCCCACGTGCTATCTATCCAGGGGCACTTGCAATTTCTAAAACATGCTATACATATTTGTTCTTCTATGTCTTTATCATGCTGTTTACTTAAAATGTCACTCCTCATACCATATCTTGCTCTTCTGCTGTCTACACCCATCACCATACTATTCATTCCTAGGGGCTCAACTCCAATGCTTTCTCATGGGAGACTGTGCTGTCTCCCATGCTTAAATAATTGTACCATTTGTTGTTCTCTTATAGTACTTTACTCATGCTCCATATGTTATATAATAGCTAACTGTTTATATACCTAACACTCTCTTCTAGATTGTGAACTTTTTTGTTTGTACATCTCATTTTCCCATATTCTTTGGGCTATGTCTATGTTTTCTAGAAAGCTGTCATAGAGTATGTGCCTAACACACAGTAAATGATCAATAAATGTAGTTTGGAATAAAAACAATACATGCACTTATATTTCCACATAGAAATACACATTAAAAATTCTTCTAAATGTAATGGGGGCTAACTGAAAATCCTAAGAGTTAGTAGAAGGTAGAAAGGCTTTCTTAAACCATTGGTGATTTCTGTCCTGATGAAAGAGAAGACTTGAACATTTCTTCAGAGGCAGACTGCTCTGGAAAAACTACATGGATTGTTTATTCATGTTAAAGCAAGTATATATTTATTACTCTTGGAAAACTATAACTTGAGTGTAGATGCTTTAGTTTGTGAAGCAGAGTGCTCCATTTGGATATGCAAATCTTTGTGTGTGGAGCAGGAGCATTGCTTCCGCAGACATTGATGCAGAAGAGAAAAACTGTTCCTTTTCTCTCTGTGGATGTAGACCACATATGTGTTGTTTCTGTGGAGATGCGAATGTCCTTGTTTCAGCCCTTGCTCTTAGAAGAACAAAAGCTGAGCTCTAAAAGATACAGGCAAACAAGGACAGGCATAATCCTTACTGCTTACTGGAGAAATAATTAGGCAAAGGGACTGGACTGGCTTTGGTGAGGCTCTACCTAGACCTATTTATAAAGATTAACTCAGTCTTTGTGAGAAATGTGCTGGGTTTGGACTCTTATGTTATGAAGGTGATAGTCCAGTTGGGTCAAAGGTTAAGGTCACACTCCTCAGGATGGAAGGTGGGGTTTCCTCTAAAGGAGTAGGTATTCCCATGGTCAGTCATCCTATGGAAAGGCAGCAACTGGGACAGGGGGTGGGACTTTGAAAATGCACCTTAAACTGGGTAAGGAGAGTTGTTTTCTTCTCTGAGTGGTTGAGCCTGAATGCTCAAGACAGGGTCAGGGGAACTCTTGATGGAGAGGGGGGCTGTCATTAGCCACATAGACCCTGGCTGCAAGCTCAACAATAAGGCAGGCCTGTAGTCCATAAGGGCTTTGAGAGTAGCCATGTCATACCTGCAGTTTACTCTGTATTGCTCTTCCTTTTTAATATTGTTATATAACCCTGGTCTTAGCTGTGCTATAAGGAGACTATGATGGGAAGAACCAGGGTTTGTGATGTCCTGGTGAAGAGGAGGCAGTGCTTCTTCCTGCTGGATCCCAAGGCAATGGTGAAAGTTTCAATGGCTGGAGAGAGATCAGTATCCCAGAACATCAGGGTATGTGACATCTGAAATACAGGCAGGAGTAATTCAGTTATTTCAGGCATATGTTGGTGACAGAATCACCCTTAGGGACTCCTCAACAGTAGAGCAGGGAGGGAAACTTTAAAGGGAGCCGATATCCTAATAATTTGGAAGGTGGGAGCTCAGAGTTATTGTAGTTTGGAATTTTAAATATGGCCTCCTTTATAACCAAAAACTTAATGAAAGCTATGATGCTCTAATTATCAAGGGCACATGAAGCCTTTTATTGAACACACCCTTTTTATCCTGGATATCCTGCTCAAAAGGCTTGACAAAAACAAAGACAAACAAAATATTCCTCAGTGTGATTTTATATGAGTCTTTTCTTTTTAGTTTCTCCCAGGCTTCTGCTCTCAATCCCTAAATAGGCATACATTTCACCAGAAACTGATAGTTTCTTGCTTTTCTTCCATTATGCATCCATCCTCTGTTTTCCTCACAAAGTGTTCTGAATAAGAGCGTAAGGGAAAGTTTGAAATTCTTTCTGGATATTATGCATAAGCACGGATGAATATGTAACTGGTCTTTCAATGAGGTGCACATCTAAGTTTATATGATTTTCTTAGGCTGAACAGGAATGTTACTTAACACATTGGCATAGAAGCCACAGTCTCATCCCTGTTGATTGCATCTATGGTCATACTCTGAAAAAAGACTGCATTCAGTTCCTGAGAGCTTTTCTGGATTCATGATGCTTTGCCTTTTTATTCTAACAGCTGCTTATTTGCATAACCTGTTAAAGACATTTCCCTACCATCAAACTACTGGGCTTCCTCTAGTTCTTGGACATTTTTTCTTGCTCTTACAGATTCTGTAAACAAACAGCAACTTTTGCCTTCAACATAAGTTCTGCCTGCCTGAAATCTTTCATTGTCTTCTCCCAACTACACAACAAAGCTGAGTTTTGCAAAATATCACTTTGACATATTAATAATTTCATTTATCTCCAAGATCTTCCTGAAATTCTTAATTTTTTCACGTATCTTTCCCTGGGACTTAGATGCAATGAAATATCTATCTCATTTACTTCATTCAACAAAAACTTACTGAATACTTACTGTATTGCACATACAAGGCTACCTGCTGTGGCTACAAAGTAGAGGAACTCACATCTGGTTTAATGGCTAGAATATTTGACTTACTGTTCTAGTTTCTTAACTCTAGGATTACATTGAAAAGCGAAACCTCCTCTTATGACTATTCAATGACATAAATGAGAATGCAACTAATAAAGAGGTGATAACTAAAGTGGGAGAGGGTCCCATGCAAAAAAATTGGGAGAAATATTGGAAATCAAGGACGCAAGAGAAGCATACTATATTTAAGGAGGCTCTATGCCCAGAAAGGGGCTTGAGCTCAGGACCTGAGATCAAGAGTCACATGCTGTACCCACCAAGCCAGCCAGGTGCCTCCGGGTAAACAAACAAACAAACAAACAAACAAGTACTTTAAAAGTTGGCTGTTTTCTAAGTTAATGTAGAGTTTCATTTTTATGTGTATCCGTATAAACAAGAACAGTATAAATTAAAATAATAGGAAATTATGCATCTTTCATTATTTATTAAATTAATATATTTTGGCATCAATTTTGTGTTGATATGATTCTTTTATATAACATTCCCTTCCATCAAAAAATTTTGAGCGAGAATATTATGTTTCTTGGTGAAGTTTTCATAAAGAATGTGAGATCTTTGGATAAGGGGTCACAAAGGGCAGTAGACAATTTTTTTTTCCTCTGTGATACATACCTCCTTGACATACTCTGGTGTTTTGTTGAGGAAGTAAGAAAATAACGGTAATTCTAGTTCTGAAGGTGCAAGGAAAGGACCCACCACTTCCTCTGCACCCTACCGGCTGAAGGAGCACACCTCAGTCTCTTTTGTCTTCTGAAAATAAAACCGAGGCATAGGGTGTTAGAGTGAAGGGTTTCCTAGGGGTTAAACCCGAGTGCTTAAGAGCCCTTTCGAAACCTACAGCTTTTACTCAAGTAGCTACTGTAAAATAGATGTTGTTCAAAATAAGAGGGCTGGGGCAGAGGCCCGTCGCGCCCACCTGGGGTACAGCTCAGGTGGGGGCAGGCGCCTGGTCCGGAGCGGAAGGTGCCTGCATTCTGCAGGTGCGGGGATTGTTTTCTTGCACCGCCCCGGCTCCCGAGAGGGCGGGACTCGCGGCGTTGCAGAGTGTGGGACTTGGCCCCTGAAGCAGAGTCTAAACGTATTCCACGCAGCAGACATTTACTCAGCCGGGTGCCCACACCTGGCCTGGGGGAGGGGAAACAGCTTCTACAGGAACCGCAGAGACAAGAGGAGCCCCTCGTTTGGGACGCCAGAGGGCTGGTCCCGCTAGGCTCTGTCCGACTGCTTTCCCGTGATTGCTTCTCCCACCTGTCCATCATATCAATACCCTATCTCGATTGGCTCTTCTCTCTGCCACTCGGTTCCGCCGCGCTGACCCCCATTGGCCCCTCTCCGGCCGAGGCCCCGCCCCACGAACTGGGCATGGGGAGTGGGGCGCGGAGCTGAGAGAGCGGGGCGCTTGCTCGGGGCTGGGGGGAGGCGGTGGCGAAGAAGGAGGAGGAGAAGAAGGAGGAGCTGGGACAGCAGGAGGCAGCGGCCGCGACCCGGCTGGGGTGATGGTGCAGGTGCCCGGGGCCCGCGAGGAGCTGCCCGGCTGAGGGGCGCCTGGTCCGGGGTCCGCAGCGCCGCCGCGTCTCTCCCGGGGGCGGGCGGGCGGGCGGGAAGATGCTGAGCAGGTTGATGAGCGGCAGCAGCAGGAGCCTGGAGCGCGAGTACAGCTGCACCGTGCGGCTGCTGGACGACAGCGAGTACACCTGCACCATCCAGGTCAGTGCCGCGCTGCCCTGCCCGCGGAACCCCTTCGTCCCCCGACTCTGGCCAACTTGGCCCGCCGCCGCCGCCGCCGCCCGGGGTCGCCGCAGACCCCGGTGCTTTGTCCGTCCCCGGCTGCGGCGGACGGCCCCGGTGCAGAGAGCGCCTCCGCCCGAGACCGGGTCCGGGGCGGGGTACCAGGCGCTCCGCGCAGCTGCGGTGAGAGTCCCTCCGTCCCGGACCCTCAGCTATCCCTCTGCCCTCTCCCAGGGTGAGGGCACCCCATCCTGACTCCTCGAGCCTGCTGGGGTGGGGAGCATCTTCCGCGGGCGTCCAGAGAGAGGCGGGCAGGGCGGGAGGCTCCTACCCCGGCCGCCCCGTCGGGGGGTACAGGCTTTGGCTCTCCAGCCAGGCAAGGACCGCTGGCCGGCTTTTCTTATCTATCTTTGGTTGGAAGGATAATGCTGTATGTCATAATTCCCCCCCCAGCATTTGTGAGTCAGAGCTCTCAGAAGGTAGAAGTGAACGCGCAGCCCATGCAGAGTGGCCTATGGAAGGGAGCCCAGCCTCTGGGCTCCCAGGATTAGCAGCCCCCC